CTATATATATATATATATATATTTACTACAGTTCTTTCTTTCTGGTCGTTGAATCTGATTGGCTGAGATCCTTTTCCAGGCGTGCCATATTCTAGTGATAACAGAATTCCAACGTTTCACCGTTTGTATCACTCTGCTTGCAGTATTTCTCACAGCGAGTGTCATGAACTCCCAAATCCACTATAATTTTATAAATAATACTGTTTTTGTGTCACGGAATGTTGTTTTAGGAGTTTTTTTAGGCGAGAATGTAGTTGTTGACTTCAAATAAGCGGTTTGTTAATTAAGATAACATCTATTTGAAAATTTGTTTTGACGTTTTTGGAGCTCCAGGGTGTCAGCGGCCGTTCAGCGCTCATGAACCCGCTGAGAGCAGCCTCACCTCGGTCCAGATCTTCTGGAATTTTCCACTGGCTTTAATGTCTCTACACAGTGGTTAAACATGAGATAGCCTATAATTCGTTTTGGGTAAATCTAACAGGTCTCATTAATCTATTATTTGTTCCAGAGCAAATAGTTTTGGCTGAGGGCAAAGTCTCATAACATTATATTTTATAACTTTAACTTTAGTGCTGTATATCGGAGCGCTGCCTTTGTACTTTTGACTGAATTGCATAGCAACTTTTATGATGGCTGTTTTTTTAATCATTATTATTCAATAAATACTATTTTATAGAAATAATAGTAGTATTTAATAGTAGTATTTAGTATTGGGAAACGGTGTGTTCGTGATGGCGATTTTAGTTAGCCTACATTATTCCGCCATTAGACTTATATACAGGCATATGGATATGGTAAAGCAGATATTTCAATTCAACATTTATAATAGCAACACTAAATTCAAATCGAATGATTTTACTCATATGGATTTTAATGAATAGACAAATCTGAAACGTACATACAACAAATATTGAGTTTTGTCTTGGTTCATGTTCTTTTTTTCTCATAACCTTGATCTGGAAAAAGATACACACATTAATCACCATCTGTCCAGAGTGATACTGGTTTTATTTGAATGAATATGAATAGTCACATTCCATTCACAGTGCTCAGAATGCCGAATGCTGATGATATAACGCACGCACACACACACACACACACACACACACACACACACACACACACACA